CTCTTCCCGACTCCGCCATCAGCATGGACGGACTCGCGCCCACGACCCCTGGCTGCGGAGGCGGCCCGGCGGCCTCATCAGCCGCAGGCGCCACCCCCGGGTGCAGCTGCTGGCCCGGTGCTGCTGCTGCTGCCACCCTCCTGGCGCGCTCCTCGCGGCGCGCTCTGCGGGTCGGGCGGCGGCACGTTGGCCTGCCGTGCTGGCCTTGCAGGGCACGGAGGCCTGGCCTGATGCCGCCCGTTGCCTGCAAGGAGATCATCTATCACCAGTAGAAAGTTCAAGGGCGCCCTCGAGGGCGCGAAGTTACTCCGCTTCCTCCTCATCCTCCTCTTCTCCCCTGGGAGGCGGCGCGAGAGCGCGAAGTTTTTCGCACTTCGCGCTTCGCGCAGCGCGAAGCGCGAAGTTGGGAGCCCTTGAAAATTGCTTGCTGCAATTCGCGCGCGTCTGCCGGAGCCACAACTCGTTGCACTCCAGGGCCGAAGACAGTCCAGTTGCGGGCTTCTGTTGCCACAGGAGCAGCCACAACCGGAAGTTTCACCTGGCCGCTCTCGTTGTATCCCAGTGCGATCGGCCTACCATCGCTGGCCTAGTACTGCGACCTCTTGCCGGCCGTCAGCTGCACGTCTTCTCCTGTTGCCATGGACAAACCGTCGGCAGTGTCTGGGTCGAAGGACGCTCCAGACAGGCGCCGGAATCCACCGTCACCCTTTTGGACGGCACTGGTGCCAGCGGCGTTTCGTCTCCGACCGAGGGCATGGGAAGCCCATCGTCGCGCTCATCCTCACAGTCCGGCCTCGCCAGGGTGCCGGCGGGCCGTGCATGAGTGGAGCCTGCGGCGGCGTCGTCTTGCGCGACCTCTGGGGCCGCTGCGAGTTGCTATGTCGTCGGCCTTCTTCTTCGGGCGCTGCCAGCTCAAGTGCCCTTGTTTGCTGCAGTAGAAGCACGTGCGCGTTTCTGTGCCTCTTCCCTTTGCTTCTCTGCCCTTGCTGTCTCCCTTGCTCTTGCCTTTTCCATTGCCCTTTCCTTTCCCCTTGCCGTCGTCCTTGCGTTTCCTCTTGTGGTCGCCTTTCCCTCTTCCTTTGCTCTGGGCCAGGGGAGTCCTCCGAGTTCCGCAGGCTTGGCCTGTGAGTTGAGGTACTGCTCAGTGCGAGCCATATCCAGCACCTCGTCCTTTATGGCTTTCCATGTGTCCAGGCGATTCGCGTTCTTGACCAGGTGCTTCTGGATTCTGGATCCCGGCGTCCGTCATGTTCACCACAACGAGACCCATTGTCAGATCCTCGTCAAACATTGTCTTGCTCTGCTGTTCATACCCCCTGACCACATCTCGAACTGATTCAACGAGAGGGGTATGTCGCCGCCAAACTTGACAGTCAAGAGTTTTGATCATCATGCCAACTCGCCTCGTGCTGACCTTCGGGCCCCAGTCCATGATGAACTGTCTCCAGGCCTCGAAACCTTCACCAGAGTTCACTGTAATCATGTTGTCTTGCGTTTTATCACGACGACGCATAACTAATTCATATACAGTATAGAGTATTTTGATGTTGACAACTGCTTCGCGTGCGGCTCTAGGTCTAGATTCCTTATGAGACTCTCCTTCTCAGAAGCTTGTTAAGATAGGTCAGAATACTTAGCGTCCATGGTGGTCATGTACGCTTTGATCACGAGCGACCACTCCAGAAACTTCTCCCTGCTGCCGAGGAACATCTCCGGCTTACCAATAACACTTGTATCGATGACCCGTGGAAGCTGGCTGGGGGCAGCGGCCGCGGCGGCTGCGGCAGGCGTTGCCGTTTGCTGATGCTGCTGGGTCAGGGTGGCCACCACGCCCTGCAGTTCCGCCAGCTGTGCCCGCAGAGCTCCTCTGCCGTCGCCACTGTGGCGTCAGACGCTTGTGAACAGGTCGTCGACCTGTCTCCGCGCCAGCGTGTTCCTGGCAGCCCCGGACAGCGTGTGGCCGCACAGCGCGCGGCCGTCCTATCCAAGCGCCCCGTCCTGCGCTGGCCACGTGCAGAAGGGGGTAGGGGGAGGGGGGAAGGCTTCTCAGAAGCACCGCTGCTTCTCAGAAGGCGCGGGCCCTCTCTGCAGATGTAAGGCCGGCGCCTTCCAAGAAGCAGCCTCCTTCTCAGAAGCCTTCCCCCCTCCCCCCACCCCCTCGTGCGCCCCGCCAACTGCGGACGAGCAGCTCGAACCTCTTCCCGGCCTGGCGCGGCCCGGCGAGGCCCCCGCGGACCTCGGGCGCTCCACGGCCCTCCGCCGCTCCGGGAGGGCGGCTCCCCGGCCGCTGCAGGGGCCAGACGCCGCCGCCCTCCGCCGAGGCTGCGGCAGGGGGGGGCGCGCCTCCTGCCCGGCCCTCGCTCGGTCGAGGCGCCGGGGAGCGCGGGCCGGACGAGGGGGGGGGGGATTGGGCAGGGGGGGGGGTACGAAATCTGCGGCCTGCAGCTGGTTTCGGCCTCACCGAGGGGCCCATTCCTCGATAACGTAATAGCCGCTGCGTGAGCCGATTCTCAACCCCCCCCTTTGCTATCCCCCCCTTTCGCCCGACCCGAAGGGCGCGCGGGCCAGGTTCGGCGGCGAGCGAGGGGGGGGGAAGTGAGAAGGAGAAGGCCTTTCCAGAAGGCGGCGGGGCTTCTCAGAGGCCCTGGCGCCTTCTGAGCGGTTTCCTGCGTCTTCGGGGAAGGCTTAGAAAACGTCTCAAGAAGGCTGGGGGGCTCCCGAGCCTTCTGAGAAAGAGGTAGACGATGGCACCGTGGAGCCGTGGGACGCGTGAGCGAGCACTTTGAGCTCACGCATGCAACCACGGCTCCGCTACCATGACGGAGTGCGCGCGAGTGGCGCATCGGAGGTCGATTCGATAGTTGAGGCCAGAGCGGATGAAGGCAGCGGAGGGATTGAATGAGAATCCTACCCCTCCGCGTGAATGGAGCAGCCGCAGGGGCGGCTTCAGGGCACTCGCACACGGCGCCTCCCGAGGGTACAGCGCGCAGAACGCTGCACATGCTACATGTCGGCGCACTTAGAGGGGGAAGGAAGGAAGGAAGGAAGGAAGGAGGCAAGTATGGAGGCAGCGAGCGAGCAGGGAGGGATGCCAGCAAGGCCATGGCAGGTCCTTGCCAGAAACGCCGTCACTCCTGGGCGCGGGCTCCACGACCCCCGATAAAAATCCAGGAGCGGTCCACGGGGTCTCCAGGGCGGTCGTAGAGGTTTCGAAACGGGGCAATAAGGCTCCAACAAGCCCAAGTCTGCCTCAAACTTTACGAAATACCCGAAAGACGGCTCGATAGAGCCCCACGAGGACCACCCCAAAAGGGCCCGAGTGAGCATGGATCCCTCTGCGCGTTGTTCGAGGTTGTCAGTGTCCTTACAGGTTCGGGCTTCCACCTGCCTCAGACTCGGTGGGCCTCGGCAGCCCAGTCTTCTCCGGATCTCCGCGCAGACGGTCTCGTGTCGGCGCCGCGGAGGGCCCCTGGGGCGCCACGAGCGAAGCTCGGGTTTCTCACAGAGGGCGGGCAGGGAGGCGGGACGAACACATGATGGTTGGCAGCAGCTACAGTCGGCGCGTTGACCTAAGGAACCCTAAATAAGGAACGGGGCCCCTCTCTTCCATAAGTTGAACCTCGATTTCCCATGGAAGACCTCAGGAAAACAGAAGGCAGACTGTAGAACCATCCAGGAACACCGAGCCCCTCCCCAACGAAAAGGGCTCCTTCTGCAGGGCCCCGGCTGTAAGAACTCGGCCCGAAACAGCTCACTCGGGCCGACCCCGGCCAGCGGAGCCCGGCCAGGCGGAGCGCGGCCTGCTGACCTCGGCCAGGCGGAGTTCGGCTGAGCTGAAGTATTTACCAGACGTCCGCCGATCTGATTTCTTCAATCCGCGGCCCCAGAGAGCCCGACCCCTCCGCAGGGGGTGTCTTTTCGTCCCGGATCCTTTTGTTGATGGCCCCCGGGCCCGACAACGAGCCCTGGAGGCCGAAATCCAGGAGAATCGCCGGACTGAAGAAATCAGGTCCCCGGATCGTTGGTGTTCCGCCTGGCCTAAGCAGGCTGGCCGAGTTCAGCCTGGCCGAGTTCAGCCCGGCCGAGTCTTCCCCTTGCGGGTGGGGGTTCGGGGAGATCAGCGAGGGCCCCGCTCCGCCCGAGCTCTCTGGCGGGTCTCTCTCGTGGCCAGCCCAGGCAGGGGAGAGGGCTTGGCTTCTGGCTTGGTGGGGCTCCCCTCCCCTGAGACCCGACGCAGCGACAAGGACTGCAGCGCCGTGGAGCAGCGCCACTTGCGCGCCACCGTCCGGGCCGGGGTGAGCTGCGAGGGGCTCGGGGCCCGAAGCCAGGCGAACACGCCCGCCTCAGAGTGAGAGGCCAGAGTCCATGGAGTAGGGACCGACCGTCCCGGCTTTCCAATCGGGGCCTACCACGGCATATCCTCAGAGCCCAAACACGTTCCAAGAACGAACGCAATGTTCTGAGAACATGAGCCCGATGTGCTAAAACAAGACAGTCTCAGCCAGACATGTTCTAAGAACATGTCGTGCAGACCGCACAAGGTTCGTAGAACATGTTTTGGTGGGCCTATCGGAGAGCCTGGACACTGCGCCACTGCTCGAATCTCAGGGCCTTTTGCTGCCGGCTGCTCCTGCCGATGCGGGCCTTGCTGCCCCTCCTCGTCCTCCACCTGCTCCTGCCGCAGCCATCGGCTCACGCTGCCGCAGCCATCGGCTCCTGCGGCAGCACGTGAGCGGCGGCGCCAGCGCGGATGGCGGGGGGGCCCGGCCGCTGACAGCCTGGTCTCCCGAGGATCCGATGACGAAGGCATGGCAGGATGATGAATCTCGGAGCTCCGCGCAGGCTTCTCGCATCTGCGCCGTGGGCCCCCCCTGGCGGCGCCTCCGGCGCCGCCCCCAGCGCGTGCCGCGCGCCGGGGTGGGGGGTTCAGCGCCGATCCAGGCAGTCCACGCGGAGCCCTGGAAGTTTATGTCGATGTCCTTTTTCCTTTCTTTCTAAGGATGGCCGGCGCGGGCCCCGGGGCGGCGTCGCTGGCGCTGGCACTGGCCGTGCGCGGGCTGCTGGGCGCCGGGGCGGAGACGATCTACCAGACGAGGCTGGAGCCGGACACGAGCTGCTGGAGGCTGGGGCTCCAGGACACGCTGGACGAGTCGCTCTGCCGGACCTTTGCCGAGGACTCGCTCGGGCTGGACACTGGCACTCAGTACTCGGTGATCAGCGGTTTCAACATGGGGTATTACGGATGCTTCTATGATGCGGGGCTAAACGCCGTCATCTTCAGCGTGGACGGCGACGAAGGCTACGAGTCCCCCGCCGCCAGCAGCATATGCATCGGCTCCACAACCTCGACCACCACAACCACTTCAGCAACGTCCAGCACCACATCGACGACCACGTCCACTTCCTCCAGCACCGCCACGACTACATCCACGTCTACGTCTACTTCCACTAGCTCCACGACCACATCTGTGACCTCCAGCACTATCCAAGTGCCTGCGGCCAGCTCCGCAACTGTGCCATCGCAGCACTCGGAGTGGCGATCTTCTGGAGCCGGCCAGAGTGGCCTGGCCTGCGACAGCTCTCTCGAATGCCTTGGGCTCCAGAGGCGCGTGGCACGTGTCACACGCTCTCCCGCAGACAGTAGCTGTCCTCCCAGAGCCCAGAGCTCGGCGATGTGACACCTCGCTTCCCCACTAGATAACCGGCCGCGACGTGTGGCACTTGCCTCCTTCATGACCCAGAGGGCCGTAAGGTTTGGCAGGAGGAGGAGGAGGAGGTGGAGGAGGAGGAGGAGGAGGAGGAGGAGGAGGAGGAGGGAGAGGAGGAGGAGGAGGAGGAGGAGGAGGAGGAGGAGGAGGAGGAGGAGGAGGAGGAAGAGGGAATGAGGAGGAGGAAGAGGGAATGAGGAGGAGGAGGAGGAGGAGGAGGAGGAGGAGGAGGAGGAGGAATAAGAGGAGGAGGAGGTCGTGTGAACGCCGCGGCGAACCCGCCGCGGGCGTTGAAGGTGGAACGCCGCCAGTGGCTCAGAGTCGGCCACTGCTGAGCGATCTGGCGAGCGGGAAGCCGCCGATCCTTCGAGGCTGAACCGCCCGCGCGGTGTCAGAGACCCACGCCGGGGTCGTCACCACACGAGCCCTCCGTACGTCACCCGGGCCTTTTTTGTTGTTGTTGATTTTTTAAAACCACAAAAAAACATCCGGGCCTTTTGGAGCTCCCGCGGGGCTCCTCCTGGGGCTCCTGGGGGCCTCTCGAGTGCCCGCTGCAGTGTCTTTTGGAGCTCCCGCGGGGCTCCTCTTGGGGCTCCCGCGGGCCCCTCGAGGGCCCGCTGCGGTGTCTCGGGCCGTCTCGTATAAGGCACGGCGGCCTGCTGGGCGGATCTCGGGGGCCGCGCGGGAGGGTCGTGGGCCCCCTCCGGCGGGCGTCGTGGGGCCAGCGGGGCAGTGCAGAAACCCTGCCAGACATCGTGCAGCGTTACACCACTGGCTCTGAGGTCCGACGTCGTGAGAAAGATGCAGCATCCTGAGGCATCACGACGGGAGCCCCAGACCCCATCTGTGTGCGGCGTGCTTCGGGCCAGATAGACCTGTGATGGCCCTGGGGCCCGAAATCAGGCGGAAACGCCCGGTGTGAAAAGTTGGGGCACCTGGATCTCAGGGCCTCTTCGCGGGCTGACGGGCAGGGTGGCGGACTACAACAACTACCGTCACCACGTCCACGTCGACGACGGCCTCAACGACGACAACCACGTTGACGACGTCTACATCCACCACTACGTCCACGACGCTGACGAGCTCCACTTCCACAACGACGACGAAGACGACGACGACCTCGACGACCACGTCCACCACGGCGACGACGACGACGACGACGACCTCGACGCCCACGTCCACGTCCACCACCACAAGTTCCAAGACCACTTCGACGTCCTCCACCACGTCCACCTCCACGTCCGCGACCACTTCGACCTCCACCACCACGTCCATCTCTTCGACGACAACAACCACCACCACCGACCCGCAGGCACCCGTGATGTCCTTGCTGGTGAGTGCGTTGCCAACGGGAGCGCAGGAGTTGGTGGTGGAGTCCGAGGCGGGGTTCGTCGTGGGGGACACCGTCCTGATCTCTCACGGCGGCCACTCCGAAGCGCGCACGATCGCGAGCTTTGGGTCCATCGTGCTCGACGCGCCCCTGGCCTACGCCTATCCCGCGGGCTCCACCGTCCTCAAGCAGGAGCACCCGCCCATGAGCGGCGGCAGGTCGGCCCAGAGCGCCTCCACGCTCCTGGTCCTGGGCCTCCTGGGCGGCGCAGGCGGCGCAGCCCTCTGCCTCTGCGCCTGCCGCACCTGGTGCGGCCGCCGGGCCCGCAGGCGACGCGCGAGGGGCGGCAAGGTCGCCGTGTTCCCCGAGTGGCACGAGGTCGTGCCCGCGGACTGCACCGCCGGGGGCGCGGCGGTGCACTGGAGCACCGCCGAGGCGGTGCAGTGGGCCCCGGGCGCGGCCGCGCTTCGGGGGGCGGGGGCCCCTGGCGCCTGGCAGCCGTGGCCCGGCGATGCCGCCGGCGGCCGCTGAGCGCGTGCACCACGCGTGCCGCTGGCGGCCCGCGCTCGAGTCGGGCACTCCTCCGGCGGCTCCCGCTGCCCCGGGCTGCTCTGCGCGCTCCTCGCCGCCCTCGTCGGTGCTAGGACTTCCTCTCTGTGCTGCACGCGTGCGCAGCCAGCGTGATTTGGTCCGTGTGGTCGGAGTGGCGGTGTCGCATGGTACATGTTGGCGCCTGGGAGAGTCAGGACCTCTCTGCTGCTGCCTTTTGCCTGGGAAACTTCAGGTCGTGAGCATCAGCCACCTGCTCTCTGTTGCTGTTTTTGGCCTGGGCAACTTCAGGTCGTGAGCATCAGCCACCTGCCCTCCAAAATGGAGGGCGGGTAGAAAGAGCTAAATAGGCGAGTTCTGAACAGAGAGCTCGCCGTCACCCTGGGGCCCACATCAGGGCAACACCACGATGGAGCAATGGAGCACAGCTCCCAGGCCGTGCTTCTCCTGCTGGGCGCCTGTGAAATTCATATTCCCTCTTCATGCCCGCCCGCGCAGCGAGCCCTGGCCGATGGCGGAGGCTCTGCCCAGGGAGGCGGCATGGAAATAGCCTCCTCCTCCTCCTCCTGCTCCTCCTCCTCCTGCTCCTCCTCCTCCTCCTCCTCCTCCTCCTCCTCCTCCTCCTCCTTCGTGCCCGTGCCCGTGCCCGTGCCCGTGCCCGTGCCAGTGCCGCGGCCCGTGGCCGAGATGCCCCGCCTGGCGGGTGCCCCACAGGCGCCGGGTGCCCAGGGGGGCGCGTCGCCTGCAGAGCGCGGAGGGCCGCAGGCCTGCAGCCCCGCGGCCTGCACCGTCCGCGCCCACCGCGTGGCGGGTGCCGCGCGGCCGCGGCCGCCGCGGCCGCCTCGAGGCGGCACCTGCCGCGCGGAGGGCGCGGAGGGTGCAGGCCGCCGAGGGCGGGCCCCAGGCCTGGGGTGTTTGTAGGCCCCGCCGCGCCCGCGGGCGGCTCCGACCCGACCGCCTCTCGGCCGCTGCTCGCTCGCTCCCTCTGCTGCCTTGCTCCTCCTCCCCATCCCGCCCTCCCGACCCCACCAGGAGTAGGGCCCCCGTCCGCTCTCCTTCTGTTTGGTCGACCCGAACTCGTTCGCTCGTGCTGCCTTGCAGGCTGTCGACTTGCCCCTCGGCGGTGCTCGTCGACGGCGGCAGCGGCGGAGATGATGAGGACATGACGTGCCCCCCCCACCCCCCCATGACGCTCCAACCTCCCCCCCCTCTCCGGACAGCAGCGCGTCGAGTGCACCTCGCTCGAGAACCACGAGACCCACTTCACGGTGGACGTCGCTCTGGGCACGCCTGCGCAGGCGGGTGTCACGGGCAGGGGCAGGCGGGAGGGGCTGGAGCGGGTGGGGCCACGTAGAGAGGGGGCCAGGGGGATAGGGGGAGGGGGGGGTGATAGTGAGAGAGGGGCCCAGGCAAGCTCGCGTCGTACAGAACACGACGGGAAGCTCTCGGCCGTTTTCGGCCTCCGACGGCCCTCGCCAGGCCCCAGAAGCGTCAAACACAGACTCGGGATGAAAAGACGGTTCCAGGGAACGGGTCTGGACTTCAGGGGACCCCGTGCTGAGCAAACACAAGACGCCGCATGTCTGGGAGGGGGGCGGGGAAGGGATGGGAAAGTGGGGGGGGATGGGGGGGGCGGATGGATGGTGGGAAGGCGGGGGGACAGATGCGGAGTGGTAGAGGGGGCGATGCAGAGTGGGAGTGGGAGGTGTGCCAGGTGGGGGAGTGGAGGGGAGTGGAGGCCGTCCTACCAGTGACCGGAGTTGGGGCCCGAGGGAGCAAGGGTGCGCGGGTGCGGTGAGCGAGCGGGTGGGAGAGCGCTCGCCCCGACCTCAGATCTTCGCCCTGGTGGCTGACACTGGCAGCAACTCGCTGATTGTCGCGTCGTGTGCGTGCATGGAAGCGGGCTCTTGTGATAAGGAGAGTCACTGTTTCACGGGCACGGACAAGTCGACGACATTCCATGCCGATCCGGAGGAGCCGGAACTGGTCCTCACCTTCGGAAGTGGGCAGATCCAGGCTGAGGAGGCCGTGGATGTGTGTCAAGTTGCCGGGGTCACAGCGAACATGACGGATGGGATCCTGCTGATGACGGACCAGGCGCTCGATTTCGGTGGCCCTTTCGAGGGCATCCTGGGCCTGGGCCCACCGCTGCCCAAGGAGGAGGAGATGGAGGAGGAGATGGCCGCGGAGGACGACATGGCGGGGCTGAGCGACGCGGAGATGGACGACATCCTGGACAAGGCCTTCGGGGACGGCTCCTCCGGCGGCGTGGCGGACACGGCCGCGGACTCCCAGCGCATGGCCGAAAGGCGCATGGCCGCAAGGCGCATCGCGCGCAAGGCCCGGTCTGCGCGGTCCTCCCGCGCCCGCGGCAGAGGCCGCTCCCGCCGCCGCGGCGGTCGGTCGGCCCACC